TTAGTCCCAAACAAGTTGGGGTAGGCTAGAGGTGAAACCCATAAGATCTCGCAACCAACTCATGGTTCCGGCACATGAATAGCAAACTTCCACGCATCCCTGTCCATGGCTAGTTCTCTGTCGATACTCCACTCCTTCAGATCCCTCTTTACGGACTTCTCCCATGCACTGGCCGTCCGCTATGCACTGGCGCTTCTGGAGGCCTGCGTTGGATATGCCCAAACCATCTCAGACGATGCTGGACAAGCTTCTCTTCAATTGGCGCTACCCCAACTCTATCTTGTATATCATCATTCCGGACTCGGTCCTTGTGTGGCCACACATCCATCTCAACATGCGCATCTCCGCCACACCTAACTAATGCCATACAACATCGCGGGTCGAATCGCCGTCCTATAGAACTTGCCTTTTAGCTTTTGTGGCACTCTCTTGTCACAGAGAATGCTAGAAGCTTGGCGCCACTTCATCCATCTGGCTTTGATTCTATGATTCACATCTTCATTAATATCCCCATCCTTCCGCATTATAGACCCCAGATATCTAAAGGTGTCCTTCTGAGGCACCACCTGCCCATCAAGGCTAATCTCCTCCTTGTGCCTAATAGTACTGAAACCGCACCTCATGTACAGAGAACGGCGGCGCCTGAAAAAAGAGGGGTCCGAGCCGTTGGAGTCCGACGTGGCGGACGTCCGGGACTCCGTGCTCTCCTACTCTACACCTTGATTTGGGGCTGGGCTTGGGGATTTCGGACATCCGGACATGTACAGCCCAAAGTAGGGGTCCGCGCTGGACTATAAATGTCCGGACCGTCCGGTCCGGACATTTGAGGGCAGGGTAGGGGTCCGTGTTGGAGATGCCCAAACTATCATCTAGCTATCATCTAGAATCGGACGTTGTGTATCATGCTAAAACAACATTTAGTAATGCATTTCTGTGTCAACTACACATGTGTTTACTTCCTTTTGTCTTTTCAGATAGCTAGTTTCAGGTGATATTCCTGTTTATCTCCTAGAGCATTTGGCTTCCCCTTTCATGTCTATATACTTCTGTGATATCCACTACAAACATATATTATCTGTCTTGACCTGTATGAAGATGATATCATGCCAACTTAAATGCGATGCATTGTGAACAGCAAGCTCTGTTCTTTTTTTGATGAAAAATAAATAAAAATGACGAGTTTCTTTCTTTTGCTGCTCTTTGTGAACAGCAACCTCTGTTTGATACTGATACTTGTAAGATTCCATAGTTGATGAATCTCTTTCTTTTGCCATTCCTTGCCCTTCACACAACACTTTTCTAGCAGACACCTAGTGCTTATAGTTATTTTTTCTAGCTGATCTTGGATGATTTTATGACATTTATGCTCCAAGACCATGCTGTTTACTATAGACTCTGCAAATGCAATTGTCCATCAGGCTTATGATGGGAGGGGGTTTCAACATTGAAGTCATCAACTCCATTTATAGTTCATTTATTTTGTCTACAACTTTTTTGTTTGTAAGAACTTCATTTATGGTATACCACTGCTTAGTTATAATTTGTGTCTTCATGCCCCTATGATAGATTGAAGATTTTTTGGCAAAGGCTGATGAAGAGCCGGTTTCAAAATGTTTAGCCAAGTCTGGAGAAGTCCTTTGCGAGCACAAGGATAAGGGTGCTGAGCATTTTTCTCATGGACTTTGTGAGGAATGCTACGACAATGTAACTCACATTTACTATGTAATGCATTGGTTTTGATATTTCAGTCACTACTACTGACATGACTTGATTGCTCAGTTCACAGAACTGTCAGGTGGACTGGAGGGTGGTGCTGACCCTCCAGCTTTCCAGCGAGCTGAAAAACAAAGGCTGGATGCTGCTAAAAGAGCCAAGGAAGCTGCTGTGGACGAGGCAATATGTGAGTTACATAATTCTGATTTTGAAGATAACATCATGAGCCCTGGGAAGGTAACGGTTCCTGAACATACATAAATCCATGCTTCTTACCCCATTAATCTCTGATAATCTGAGATTCTTTCTTTCTGAACTATAATTCTCAACTAAGCAATTACACTTATTGTTCGCTATTATTTTCATCATTCATGCAAAGTGAAGATTATTTTTCATCGGTTGACTGCACAAACCCCTGGTAAATCCGGTTTTGTAGTTTCTATAACATTTGCTGTTTATTAATTACATTGATGACTTGTTTTCTTTTTGTTAAAAGAAACATTCAAGTTTCATCTGCATATTGTTTTGCACTTTCACTTTTACATCTGGATTATATTCCTGAACTGTAGTTCAGAGCTTCAAAATGAGGTTTCTAAGTAATATCAGAGTTTTCCTTTCTTTCCCACAAAACTGGTTGCAGATAGGTATCTCAAATTATCTAGTACTGAAGCTGCTTCTCTTTGTTTATATTTTTTACTCCATCTTCTGATGTACTTAAAGGATGTTTGCAAGATGGGAACAAAATATACTCAACATCCAATACTGGGCTGTACCAGACTACCTGTCTTGTTGCTGCAATCTTCTAATGGAACATTTTTACCAGCATAATCTATTTTATAGTGCTTAACTTCGGAATTTTTTGTCTTGAGCTAATGTCATGTGCTTCCCTGTAAAGAAATATAAGAGCGTTTAGATCACTAAAGTAGTGATCTAAACGCTCTACTAAAGTAGTGATCTAAACGCTCTTATATTTCTTAGAGGGAGTATATTTTATCTCTTTACTACAGCTGCATTTGTTCTTTCTCTTATAGTTCATTCAGTGTGCTTGATGTGTGGTTGTTTGTTTGGTGATTCAAGTTTCCTTTTTTTTAGCAGAAGTCTGAAGGCAAATCTTCGGCAATTGCTTCCAGCCAAATTGCAAATGATTTTGTTGATTTCAAAGATTCGGAAGTGGAAGGTTTGTTGGTTCCTGTAATATGATTATTCAAATAGGCTTCCGCTCCACTATAAATAAAGCAACCATCACGTACATACAAGAAGTGCAAAGTGCATGAAAGAATATAAGAGCTTTGCTGGGGCAACAACACAGACACGCCCAAAAGCAAGAGCAAAAGCGATAGAAGACTCCTCGGAGCCAAAGGTTTAATGGCTAGGGAGCGAAGCGGGTTGGCGGCCTGCCACTAGAAGATCATCAATCATGCCCCCTAGCCGATCCTTGTCGCGCTGCCACTGCTGCAAGAAGGCCAAAAATTTAAACACTGAGCCAGAAGCACGCCGCAGAAAGACCTGCTCGATAAGGTGCAACCATAGGCCTCCCCCTAAGAATCCGCCACACCCATCGCAACATGAGGGCCACATTCATGTGATGTGACGCTAGAATACCCAGGCCCCTCTGGTCCTTAGGGAAGCAGATATCAGCCTACTTCACCATATGGTACTTTTGGCGCCCATTGGCTGCCTGCCAGAAGCACCGTGATAGATCCTCGTCGAAGGCGCTATGCACTCCCTCTGGAAGAATATACAACCCCATCATATACATGGGGAGGCTAGAGAGGAGTCTATGAGCATGGATTTGCTCC